ATCTTTATGGATTTATGTACTGTCGTCTTTGTAGTTGTTGACTTTCAGATTGGGTGTCTGAGTGGACGTCCAGTTTGTTGATGATGAAATTATTTCTTTCTGTTTCTTAGTTTTCCTTCTAACAGTCTGGCCCCTCTGCTGTAGGACTGCTGAGGTCCACTGCAGGCCCTGCTTGCCTCGGGATCACCTGCAGCGGCTGCAGAACAGTAAGGGTTGCTACCAGTTTCTTCCGCTGCTATCTTTGTCCCAGAAGGATACCCGCCCGATGTCAGTCTGATCTCTCCTTTATGAGATGACTCTTTGGATATACGGGGGTTAGGGAGCTGCTTGAGGGGACAGTCTGTCCTTTACAGGAGCTCAAGTGCTGAGCTGTGAGCTCCGTTGTTCATTCAGAGCTGCTGGGCAGGTACATTTAAGTCTGCTGCAGCAGAACTCATAAATCCCCTTTACTTTCCACCCACCCCCCCACCACGTGCCCTGTCCTGGGAAGTTAGGGCTTTATTTATGAGTTTCGGTTGTGCTGCTGCCTTTTTTCAGGGCTGCCCTGCCCAGCGAGGAGGCAGCCTAGTCACTGTTGGCCTGCAGAGGTTTTGCTAAGCTGCTGTGGGCTCTGCGCAGCTGCCGTGTGAACTTCCCTGCAGTCCTGTTTATACGGGTGTAGTCAGAACTGCCTCAGCAGTGGCGGCCCACGGACTCTCTCTGTAATGGCAGGCTGCCTCAGCAATGGCAAACTTCCTCCGTAGTGGTGGACTGCCTCAGTAATGGCGGACACCCCTCCCCCACAGAGCTGGACTATCCAAAGTTCACACCACCACACTCCAGCCTGGGTGACAGAGTGAGACTGCATTAAAAAATTAAATTAAGTTAAAATTTAAAAAGAAAATTTCCATCTAGACACATCGGAAGTAGAACTTCAAAAGCCAAAGCCAAATGGAAAAATCTTAAAAGCAGCCAAAGAGAGAAAAAAGTTTGCCTTCAAAGGAGTCCCTGTTAGACTGAATGCTGACTTCTCAATAGCAGCAATGAAAGCCAGAACACAATGGGATAGTATCTTCAATTTCTAGAAGGAAAATAACTGCCATCTTAGAATTCTATACTCAGCAAAAAATCTTTCCAAAATAAAGACATTTTCAGAAAAACAGAGAATTTGTCACAACTAGACCTGCACTAAAGAAGATGCTAAAAGATGTTCTTTGGGCAGAAGAAAGATTATCACATACGAAAAGTCAGAAAAGCAGAAAGGAATAAAGAGCAACAAAAATGATAAACCTGTGAGTGATGAGTCTAAACAAATATTAAATGTATAAAACAATTAAACTCTTATGGAATTTAAGATATAGAGAGAATTAAAATATGCAACAACAGACCAGACATGGTAGCTCACGCCTGTAATCCCAGCGCTTTGCGAGGCTGAGGCTGGCAGATCATTTGAAGTCAGGAGTTTGAGACCAGCATGGTAAAACCCTGTCTTGACTAAAAATACAAAAAAATTAGCTGGGCATGGTGGCATACGCCTGTAATGCCAACTACTGGGGAGGTTGAGGCACGAGAATTGCTTGAACCTTGGAGGTGGAGGTTGCAGTGAGCCAAGATCATACCACTCCAGCCTGGGTGACAGAGCAAGATTCTGTCTCAAAAACAAACAAATAAATAAACAAATAAATAAAATATGCAACAACAATGACATATATGTCTGGAGCAGGTAAATAGACTTAAAATGTTCTAGTATCCCTTCATTGTCTGGGGGTGGAAGTACCACTTCTATTCACCTTTGAACAGGAGGCCCTAGCCAGTGTAGAAGGCAAGAAGAACAGAGTATGAAACATGTAAAGACTGGAAAGAAAGAAAACTGACACAGATTTTGTTCCGGAAAAAATGCAGAAATGTACAGATAATTAGTTAGAATCTATAAGTGAGTTTCATAAGGTTATTGTATACAAGGTCAGTGTATGCAAATCAATTGCATATCTATATGCTAGCAACAAATGGTTAGAAAATGAAAATATTTTAAAGCTGCACCTTAAAATTAATTTTAAAAATACATAGACCACAAGTAGAAGGCAAAGCAGTGGGGGGAAAACCCTAGAAATATATTGTATAAAAAATGTATAAGACTCTATGCAAAAATGTCAGTTCTACTCAACTGATCCATTAGATTCAGTGCAATCCCAGTCAGTCAAAAATCCCAGCAGATTTGGGGATTAGGGAAGAGATTTGAATAGACTGCTTCTAAAACTTGTATGGAAATGTAGAAGAGTAAGACAAGCCAATAAACTCTTGAAGAAAAACTGGGTAAGAGGATTTGCTCTATCAGATCTGAAGATTATAACTACAACTACAACTTTAGTTATAACATTCCAATAACAGTGGCACAAGGATAGACCTGTAGAATAGAAGAGTATAGAAACAGACCCAATATAAATCAACTTCTGATTTTTTTTTTTTTTGAGATGGAGTATTGCTGTCACCCAGGCTGAAGCAAAATGGCACAGTCTTGGCCCACTGCAACCTCTGCCTCCCGATTCAAGCAATTCTCCTGCCTCAGCCTCCCGAGTAGCTGGGATTACAGGTGCATGCCACCATGCCAGCTAATTTTTTTGTTCTCTAGTAGAGACAGAGCTTCACCATGTTGGCCAGGCTGGTCTCAAGCTCTTGACCTTGTCATCCACCCTCCTTGGCCTCCCAAAGTGCTGGGATTATAGGCCTGACCACTTTAAAAAAAAAAAAAAAAAGATGACAGGCCTGGCATGATGGCTTATACCTATAATCCCAGCACTTTGGGAGGCCAAGGTGGGAGAATCACTTGAGGCCAGAGGTTCACGACCAGCCTGGGCAACATAGTGAGACCCTATCGCCACAGTTGAGTGTGGCGGCGTGCACCTGTGGGTACCTGCTACTTAGGAGGCCAAGCGGAGAGGATTGCTTGAGCCTAGGAGTTTGAGGCTGCAGTGAGCTATGATTGTACCACTATACTCCAGCCTTGGAGTACAAAGATGGCCACCCTACAAAGAAAGGAGAGTCTTTTTCAATAAGTGGTGCTATGACAGTTGAATACCCATATTAAAAAATGAAATAACCCCATTTTATAATATAAACAAAAATTCCAGGTGGATTATAGATCTAAATATGATAGGTAATGTAATAAAGATCCTATAAGAGTATCTTAATGACTAGAGAATGGTTTCCTACACAGAATGAAAAGCACTAACCATGTAGGATAAGAATGATAAAGTAAGCCAGGCACTGTGGTGTGTGCTAGTAATCCCAGCTACTTGGGAGGCTGAGATGGGAGGATCACTTGAACCCAGGAGTTCAAGGCCAGCCAACATAGCAAGGTCCCATCTCACAAAAGAGGAAGAATGATAAATTCAACTACATTAAATTAACATCTGTTTATTAAAGAACACCCATGAAGAGGGTAAACAGACTGGAAGGAGATACTTGCAGTATGTATACCCAACAAAGGATCTATATCCAGAATATACAAATTCTACAAATCAGTAAGAAAGTGACAATCCACCAGAAAAAATGGCAAGAGATTTGAACAGGCATTTCTAAAAGAGGATATGCAAATGGCCAATAATATATTAAAAGGCCTCAGCCTCTTAGTGATCAGGAAAGTGCTGTGTATCTCCAAGAGAAATGAAAACATACATCCACACAAAAACTTGTACACAAGTGTTCACAGCAGGATTGTACATAATAGCCCCAACATGGAAAAATCCAAATGCTATCAACTCATGAATGGATAAATAAAATGTGGCATAACTATTCAATGGAATGTTATTTGGCAATAAAAAGAAACGAAATACTGATACATGCTACAAATATTTCAACCTTGAAAATATTATGCTAAGTGAAAGAATCCAGACACAAAAGGCCACATATTATATGATTCCACTTACATGAAATGTCCAGAATAGAGAAATTATAGAGGCAGAAGAAAGAATTGGAAGTTACCTAGAATTGGGAGTTTTGGGGAAGAGGAGAATTGACCGTTGAAGTACCGGTATGGAGTTCCGTTTTGGGGTGATGAAAATGTTCTAAAATTGTAGTAATGATTGTACAACTCTGTGACTATATTATAAACCATTGAGTATTATACTTTAATTGGGTGAATTTTATGGTATGTGAATTATATATCAATAAAGCTTTTTTTTTAAAAGGAGATAATATTGCATACACAACACAATCACTAACATTTTTAAAGCTGGCAATATCAAGTATTGGCAAGGAAGTGGAATGATGGTACCTCTCATATCCTGCTGATAGTAGAATTGGTACAACCATTTTGGAAACTGTTTAACATCACTTCTTACATTTGAACACATGCATACCCTGTGATCTAAGATTTCCACTCGTAAGTATATCTCCAGCAGAATAGATAAATCCAGAAATGTTTTTGGCAGTATTATTCGTAAGAACCAAAACAACCCAAAAGTTTATCAATAGTAGAATGGTTAAATAAACTATGATGAAGTCATACAATGCAATATAATGGAAATGAATAGACTGCAGCTACACACAAAAGGTGAATTTCACAAACATAATACTGAGTGAAAGTAGCCATGTAAATATATACCATTTGACTCCATCTTCATAAAACAGGTAAAACTAAGTTGTGAAGCTTAGGAATCCATGCTTAAGGAGGTACGTTATAAGGAAAGCAAGAAAACAATTACCATAAAAGTCAAGTTAGTGATTACTTTGGGGAAAGAGGTGTAAGTAATTGGGAAGGGGCAGGAGGGAGCTTCTGGATTGTTGGCAGTGTTCTATTTTTATAAAATCTGGTGATGAGTAACATGTTCATTGTGATATACGTTTTGTGTGTACTGTTCTGTATGTTTCACGGTAGAAATGTTCAGGCAGTAATTAAATACTTCACACAGCACATGTCAGCACAAGTGCGTACATATATATTAAATCTAAGCAGCAGTTAGTAGGTATTTTGTGACGATGGTATGCTAAGGACTAATAATTCAGTTTCTTTATTTTTTTAGGAGTATGTTTATCCAGAAGCCAGAGACAGACAATACTTATTATTTTTCCATAAAGGAGCCAAAAAGTCACGTTTTGACCTAGAGAAATACAATCGACTCAAGGATGCAATTGCTCAGGTAAGTTTTATAAAATTTAAAATAAATCCCAGCCCCATCTTGCATGGTTATTATTATTATCCACTGCCACAGTTCTTCAAATGAGGAAACGGAAAGAATGTTCCAACCCTCTTCTTCTTGTATAAATTATTCCTCAGTTGATTACAGCAACTATTTTAGACGTGGATATTTCTCTAGAAAGTTTTATAAAAAGCAAGTGAGAAGATGGTGGGTTCGCTCTATCCTGTTAACACCAGCACATTGACATTTTTAGGCCTACTTTTCTTTTTATTTTATTTTATTTTATTTCTTTATAGTTGTCTGTTTCTACTTTTCTCTCTGCTTTTTGATTATTTCTATAATAATTGATCTAAGATTTTTCACATAAATGTGTGGTGGCAGTGGGGAAAAGTAAAACTCAGGTAAGAGGGAAAGACTGCTAGAAATCTTTGCCAGGGACAGGTTAGGGATTATTAAACTAGAAAATGCTTTTGGAAAAGATTGATACATTTTATTTTTCATAAAAGCTACCTCTTTCAAATTTCTGGATGTGCTTCCCTCACTGTGTTATCTTTGATTTTGGCGACTAAGCCCACATTCCTTTTCTCTGTAGTCTTTGTGACTTTAGAGATTTTTCAGCAATCTCTAGAAGCTTTTCCATTCTCTTTAATGTTTAGTTGCTTTTCTCTGCCTTTCCTGTCTCTTCTTGATGATGAGGTTGTGCTTTGAATAGGCTTAATCCATCTTCCTGCTTTGGCTTAAGTGAACTTCTGTCTTCCTTTGCTATGTATGGTGGCTCTGAACTGGAGGGAATGCATCAGAATCATCTCTGGAGCTGTTAAAACTACAGATGCTTCAGTCTTAGCCTAGGCTTGCTCATTAGTCCAGCTCCTCCAGGGTGAAGTCCAAGCATGTATGAGTTTTGAAAGTACTACAATTGACTACACATGCGGTTTTAAAATTCACTGGCTAAGTAAAAACTAAACAGATACTGGATAAATATCTAAAATCTTGAGTAGCATAAAGTTCTGGCTCCAGGCAGAGGTTTGTAAAAGGGCTTCTCATTGGAGAAATACTATCAAGATGTATGTCTCAGATGCTCCTTACATTCTTAGCCCCTGAGTCCTACCCTGTTGGTAGCACTGCTTTTTCTGGAGGCTTTGTTGATAGCTGAAACTGCCAAGGACAGCTTCCATTTTGGATTCACCCTTTGCTGTCCTATGCCGTGAGTTAAAGTGCTTTGTCTTTCGAGGCACTCTTATTTTGAGAGTAATTGAGATGATCTCTCTGACTCACAGTAATGGAGAACAGACAGTTTCTTTTTTTCACTAGACAGTAATATCATTGAGAGCTCCACTAGCCAGTTTTTCTCACCTTTTGTTTCTATTTTAGGCAGAAATGGACCTTAAGAGACTGAGAGACCCATTACAAGTACATCTGCCTCTCCGACAAATTGGTGAAAAAGATTGATCTGCAAAGAGCCTCTGAATCCCAGCAGAAGGAACACCTGTTTGCCTTTTTAATTAAAGCATTGCAGGTGGAAGCTGGGAACCATGTGGGGGTAGAGCGTTTTTACCTTTAATTATAAAACAAAAACAGAAAGGATCTGAGGGAAGAAGGGAGTGTTAAAACCTGAGGATCAGGCATTGTGGAATATAAGATCAAAGGGCTTAGTGAATATTGTCTTAACGAAGTATCTCACTTTCTGGATAAAAATGATGCAGTTATATAGTCGAGAGATTCATAAAGAGAAAGTGACGCTGGGGGTGTTTGTTTCTTGCATCTTCTCTGCAGAGTCAGCAAAACAGTAACACACCAGCACCCCACTCTGCTCTATTTTTTTTTTAATTTAACTTTCCCTATTTTTGACATAGGAGTAAATAAATATACCAGAAAAGCAGATTCTCATGATATGTGGATGGCAATCTGAGTGCATATCAGTAGCATTTATTTTAAATCGGACCCAGTCTCTGCAGAGTTACCAGGAATCTCTCCCTCCTGCACCCCTTTACTGACCACCTACCTGTACCTCTTGGCTACACTCATTTTTTTCCATTTGATAATTGGAACCAACTTACAACTGTTTAATAATTGATACTTTATCTCTTAATACTTTCTTAAATGTCTGTATAGCCCAGTGCTCTAGATCAGTGTCTAAAAATCATTGGCAACACTGCATGAGGTTGTTGGTTTGATTTTGTTTTTCTATTAATTAGTCTTTCACAGGAGGAAAATTTGCCCTCCTTTATAGGCGTATCTATTGATAATCCCCTCTCCCTCCACTACACAAGTCAGAGAGAGGAGGGGTGTTCAGCTGTACTACCAAATCAGGAAGATGTAAGGTTTACAAACTGGCTAAAAATCATGGCTCTGTAGCCATTTCAACCCAAATAATTTTATTGCTAATCTGCTTGTGTGACAGCATTCCAGGCCAGCCAGATGGCACTGCCTTGTCTGGAGGCTTTGTTCATCTCAAAGGACACACACTTCCACACTGTTTGGGAGTCCTCCCACCTCCACAACTTCAGTTGTTGCAAATCGAGTGTGTGGATCTCAAAGGGTGCAATTTATCTTTATACAGGAATACACTTCTAGGGCTTCCTTCAGCCTACTCTCTTCACCCTATGTTTTCTTATCTTAAACTGAGAGAAAGAAAATTAATCTTTTACTTTGTCAAAACGTTTTCTACCATATTTCCAGATGACATCTGCGCTTGAAGAGTCAAAGGAATCTGTGTCTAATATCCTGTTTTTAACTGCTGTAGGGGCAGGATGGAAAGGATGATGGGGGCTGCCACACCACTGATTGGCCTTTTCTTTCACATGATTCGTTTTTCGTCATTGTGGCAAGGAATTTCTTTCTTTTTTTCTTCCTCCTTTGGGATCATTGTGTATGAAAAGAAAAACTTTAAATGACAAACCCAGACTCCAGGTGCCTTGCAAAGGTTGAAGGCCAGCCAGGATTGCTGCTGCTGCTACTCCTGCCACCATCCCTTTCATTGGCATGATGGAATGAAAGGATGCATGTCTCCACTTCCTCACCCTCCACCCACTTCCTTCTCCCACCACCACCCCCAGTCGTCAGCTCCTTCCCTCATTTATTTTTGTTGTGTGAATTATTTTTAAACCATTTATCCTGTTTGTGCATAGGATTTTTAAGAAGAAACAGCACAGTGCAATGAGCAAATCTTTTCGGGGTGTGTGGGAGGCAAGGGAGGGAGGACATGGAGAAAAGTTCTTTAAACAAATAGCAAACTATTGAACATGTGTAAAATCCTGTATCATTTATGAAATATGTATAAAAAGCAATGTACCTTCTGGAACAATAAATACTTATTCAATTTTTGAAGGATAGCATCTCATTCTTTAAAACAAAACCAGAAAAACTACGTTTCCTTTGTTTCTAGGTATGAAATTTTTTACTTCTAAAATTCATTTTTATAAAAATATTATCAAATTAAGCTCTCTTCCTTAAGCCTATATTTCAAAACTAGGCATTTCACTAATTATTGCTGAACCTAAGATGATCAGTATTTTCCTAATTTTCCAGAGCCACCAAGAGGTCGAGTGACCTCTACAACCATAAATAAAGTCAGCAGCAGCAGTCTCAGTAAGCCTGAATCCTTAATCTCCTGATGGACAGGAAAAATCTCCATGGTATCATATCACCTGGATTGCCCAGTGTAGGCTCCTGGACTCAAGAAGATTGCTCAAGGATGCACCAAAATTAAGTATTCATTATTTTCAGAGTTTGTATGAAATTTACAGTGGTAGCCAAATGGGAAAAATATCACACAGACAACCCTGACCCACATGTAAGGTGTAAGAAGGTAAGGTCTGACAGAGCTGGAGCATCGCCATCTTGGACAAGCACTGCCAGTTTAAGTTCCCCTTGACTGAAAACTGCCTAAATCCAGCCCAAAAAAATCAGCCTAATGGCTGTCAGCATGACCATAAACCACAATTGACACCTCTGATCAAAAACATTCCAACCCTGAAATTAAAGCCCTCTCCGACTAGAGACATGCCAGCCCCGAAATAACCTCCCCTCCGAACAGAAACGTTCCACCCCGGCAATAAAAACTCTTCTCTACCCAGAAACACTCAGAGCCTGAGGTAAGCTCTTCCCCGCTAAACCCTTAAGTACCCTTAGTCAGTCAGAGAGAAGCTCCTGATTGAAATCAGCCAGAATCTCCCTCAGGTTTATTCTTCAAAATAAGCCTGTCTTTGACTGTCGAGCCACTTTTTGTTTCTTCTTTCAGCTCGTACAAGGCTGAAAATATTAAGTCATTTTTTGCATTCAACAAATAGTATGTATATATTTCACACATTCTGTTAAGCTTTGCAGGGTTGTTTTTGTTTTGGTTAGTTTTTTTAAGGAAAATAAAAACATGATTCCTTGCCTTTAAGGAGCTTACAATTTGAAGTTTAAAGCAGGAGTATCCAATCTTCTGGCTTCCCTGGGCCATACTGGAAGAAAAAGAATTGTCTTGGGCCACACATAAAATACACTAACACTAATGATAGCTGATGAGCTAAAACAAAATGCAAAAAAAAAACTCAAATGTTTTAAGAAAGTTTACGAATTTGAAAAAAAAAATAGAGAAAAGAAAAAGAAAAGAAGAAAAGGAAAAAGAATTTGTGTTGTGCTGCACACAGCCTGCAAACCATGGGTAGGACAAGCTTACTTTAAAGTATAGTGAACCTAACAAAAACTAAAAAATGAACAGAGGAGTTGGACAGTTCTCCAAAGAAGATACACAAATGCCCAATAAACACGAAAAGATGCTCAACATCACTAATAACTAAGGAAAGGTAAAACTATCACGAAATACCATTTCACACCCGTAAGGATGGCTATTATCAGAAAAAGCAGAAAATTAAATATGTTGGTGAGGAAGTAGGGAAATTGGAACCCTTGGCACTGCTGGCGGGAATGTAAAATGATGCATCTCCTGTGGAAAACAGTATGGTGGCACCTCAGAAAGTGAAACAGCCATATGATCCAGCAATTCTACTTCTGGGTATATATCCAAAAGAATTGGAAGTTGGGACAAACAGACATGTATACACACATGTTCATAGCAGCAGCATTCACCATAGCCAAATGGTAGGAGCAACCTGATGTCTGCCAACAAATGGATGGATAAACAAAATATGGTGTGTGCACACAATTGAGGATTCAGCCATACAATAATGGAATTTGGTCACATGCCGTAAAAAGGATGAGCCTTGAAGACACATGCTGAATGAATCATGCTAGTCCCAAAAGGACAATAACTGTATGATTCCACTTATATGAAGTATTTAGAGTAGTCAGATTCATAGAAATACCAAGTTAAATACTGGCTGCCACGGAAAAGGGAGTTATTGTTTAATGCATACAGAGTTTCAGTTTGGTAAATGACAAGAGTTCTGGAGGTGGTTGGTGGCGATGGTTGCCCAACGATGTGAATGCACCTAATGCCACTGAACTATATGTACACTTAAGTGGTTAAAATGATAGATTTTATGTATATTTTACCACAATAGAGGGAAAAAACGTAGTGGATTAAAGGCACGTAATGACAGTGTTAAAGCTATTGCCGAGCGTAAGTAATGCAATTTTGCTGAGAGAGCATAGGCTTTAGAGGTGGAAAAAGTAAAAGGGTTCTCAGAACATGGTCCCCAGAGCAGCAGCATGTCATCTCCTGCAACTGTTAGAAATGCAAGTTCTCTGGTCCCTTTTGGATCAGAAACTAGGAGCGGAGCCAGAAATCTGTGTTCAACAAGCCCTCCTGGTGATTCTGATGAGAACCCTTGATCTAGTCTAACCATTGCTTTAAAGAGAAAGGAACTGAGGAACAGAGCTGGCGTCTGTGTCACAACTCCTCAGTGCACCCTGTGGTCAAATACCAGACTGAGTGACTGGAGGACTGCTGAGCATGGTGACTGTGGTGAGTAGAAAAGATATAACCAGAGGTCTTGTTAATGCTAATGTGGTATTCTGCCTGTCAGGGTGCAGCAGTAAGCACGCGGTAGATGTTTTCAAAACAAATACAAATAGGTTGACTTTTAAAATCTATCTGGAAAGATTTCACAGAAAAATGGGACTTAGATTTTAGAGCTCAGTTTCACCACTACTCTTCAGAGTTTTAATTGAGATTTATCACTGCCAACCTTTGTTGCTCTCCCAAATAAGTCCTAACTCCTCGTCTCCCATGGGCTCTTATGATATTTCCTTGGGATAAATGTGTAGGTTATTTTTAATGAATCCTGCTGAATATAAGATTACCTACTTTGCCTGTAATCCCAGCACTCTGAGAGGCCACAGTGGGTGGATAGTTTGAATTCAGGAGTGTGAGACCAGCCTGGGCAACATGGCAAACCCCATCTCTACTAAAAATACAAAAATTAGCCAGGTGTGGTGGTGCACACCTGTAATCGCAGCTACTTAGGTGGCTGAGGCAGGAGAATTGCTTGAACCCCAAAGGCAGGGACTGCAGTGAGCTGAAATCACACCACTGCACTCCACCCTGGGTGACAGAGTGAGACCCTGTCTCCAAAAAAAAAAAAAAAAAAGATTGCCTACTTTATAAATGTTTATGTATGTTTTATGAATGCATCATACACTGGGCAACCCCTCCTCCGTGAACATCGGCTCCTGTGACTCCACCCTCGGGTTTCCTTTCATAAATCTCTGACTACTTCTTGGTCTCTTTTACAGCATCCTATTCCTCTGCCCACATCTTTAATGTTAAGCCTCCCCAAGGTTCCATCTTAGACCCCATTTTCCATGGGTGTAATCTCACCCGTCTCCCCTATTTGAGTTACCACTTATATGATGGTAGCTCTCAAATTGTTACTCTTGCTCAGATGTATCCTAGACTGATTTATCCTCTTGCTAACTGATCTGTTTCTAACATTGCTTTCTGTACATTAAATTCCCTCAGTGTCACCAGAGTATTTTTGTTTTTAAATTCTAATAGCATGTAATTTAGAAAAAAAATATAATGTATGAACAAGCATTGTCATTAAATATGGGGGAAGACTACAAGACACCACAAAGAAGCAATTCACGAAACCCAAAATGTGGAACATTCTATAGGACAAATGATGGGGTTTCTTCAACAAATGGAAGGAAGAAGGGAAAACATGGTGGATAATTTTTTTTTTTTTTTTTTGAGACAGTCTCCCTCTGTTGCTCAAGCCTCCCAGGTTCAAGCGATTCTCCTGCCTCAGCCTCCCAAGCAGCTGGGATTACAGGCATGCATCACCACACCCAACTAGTTTTGTATTTTGAGTAGAGACAGGGTTTCGCCATGTTGGTCATGCTGGTCTCAAACTCCTGACCTCAGGTGATCCACCCACCTCAGCCTCCCAAAGTGCTGGGATTATAGGCGTGAGCCTCTGCGCTCGGCCAATAAAAATAAATTTAAGTGACAACCAAAATGCAACATATAAATCTTGTTTGAATCCTCACTCAATCCAGCAATAAAAAGGAATATTTGGAACTATTGGGAAATTTAAATATGGACTAGGTGTGAAGTAAGGAATTATTACAGATTTTCATAGCTGTAATAAAAGCATCATGATTATGTAAAAAAAAGACTATATGTTAGAAATGCATACTGGTATGTAAATGAGATGAGATTGAACAAATGTTAGTAATTATAACTAGCTGCTCATTATTGTTCTATATATTTGAAATTTTTCTTCATAAAAAGTAAAAAATGAGGCTGGATATGGTGGCTGACGCCTATAATCCCAGCACTTTGGGAGGCCAAGGCGGGTGGATCACAAGGTCAGGAGTTCGAGACCAGCCTGACCAACATGGTGAAACTCCATCTCTACTAAAAATATAAAATATAGCTGGGTATGGTGGTACATCTCTGTAATCCCAGCTACTCAAGAGGCTGAGGCAGAAGATACACTTGAACCTGGGAGGCAGAGGTTGCAGTGAGCCAAGATCACGCCACTGCACTCCAGCCTAGCAAGACTCTTGTCTCAAAAACAAAAACAAGTAAAAAATGAAAGGGCAGGTCAACTAAAAAGGAAAAAATAAAAATAAGGGAGAAAAAAAAAATCTTACCATCCTGGGAATTTTTGTTTACAGAACCAAAGGCTATCTGGTAAAAGTCCTTGACTCCAGCAATCAATCCTGGTAACAAGTCTGAGTTTATCTCATGCACACGTCCTCTGTTTCTCTGCAACACATATGAAGCCCTCAGATGGCTTCCTAAGGACAGGAAGTTGTGGGGGTTTGTTTTTTCTGTTTAAAGCACTGATTCTTAGCAGCACTACCCTGCAGTGAGACAGCAGAGTCATCCACTGCTGCCATCAAACCACAACTTACCAAGCTAATGGTCA